CGCCGCGGCCCGCGCGCCCCGGGCCCGCGCCCGCTCCGGGGAGCGCCCCTCGGGTGTGCAAAAAAAATTTTTTTTAATTAAATGCAAAAGAAAAAAAAAAAACCTTGCAGGTTTTGTGTCCCGCCCCCCCGCTCTTCCTCCTCCTCCTCTTCCTCCTCCTCCTCCTCCCTCCGCCCTCGCCGGGGGATGGGCTTGCCGGAGGCCCCGCCTCACGCCTCGGTGAGCCAATCCTAGCCCGGCGGGGCCGAGCGGCAGCCCCGGAAGCCAATGGGAGAAGCGGATGCCTGAGAGGGCGTCCCGCGCGCCGCCCCCCCCCAGCCTGGGCTAGGGGGTTTGGGGGTGCGCCTGGCCAAGCTCCGGAGCAGTGTGTCGAAGGCTTGCAGTCCGGTTCCGAATAGAGATAGGAGGAAGGCTGAAGGGGTTCGCGTTCCCGGGTCCCCGCGCCCGGCCTTCCTGGGGAAGGGGTTTAGTACGCTCTGGGCGCGCCCCCGAAGCGGGGGAACGTGGCCCGGACGGGTTCGCGCCCAAGAGCATCGCCGAAGGTTTGAAGAGAGAGCCGGAGTCCAGGATGGCGGAGGAAAGGAGACCCCGCGAGGTGGTAGCACCAAGGAGCCGGGAGTCGGAGCCGATAAGAGTGCAAGGCTACGGGATCTAGGGGGCGACTGCCAGGAGCCTGGGCGTGGCCTGGGCACTCACCGAGTCTGTCCTAGCCAACCTTGGCGGCGCCCCGGGACGCGGGTCGGCCGGGCCTGGCCGCCTCCGGGAGTCTGCTCTCGGGTGGAGCCGTGAAATTCCCGGAAGCCCTGGGAATCCGCGGCGGTGGCCGCTCCGCTTCCGCCGCGCCCGAGGGACATCTGGCTTCCCGCGTCCGCGCGCAGGATGTCTGGGGAGCGCCCATTGGGTTCGAAGACCCAGGGCCCCCGGGGGAAGGCGGTGTACACAGTAGGTGCCCGATGTGTGTGAGTTGAATAAATGAGCGATCGAGACACTTATGTGTGTGTTTTTAAGTATTAGCAGTTATCCTAGTCTCCTGGTGGTACTATCCGTAGCATTTTTTCAATGTTTTATTTATAAATGTAATTGTGAGAGATTCAAGGTTAAAGGCCCTCACAACAGATCAATCAGCTCCTGGCTCACATCTTGGTTTTGCCACATTTTTGCTGTGTGACGTTGAGTAAGTGACTATCTCCCTGTGTCTCCATTTCCTCATCTCTAAAATGCTGGTGATAGGCCCACTGTGCAGGGTCATAAGGAGGGATGAGCTAGACAGGAAGTATTAGGTAAGTGCTGGTCACTGATGGTGACTATGTAAAATAAAAAACTATAAATCCCACATGCGAACACATTATGGTTGCCCCAAACAGAGCAGTAAATCTCTATTAGGCAGTGGTCATCCACAGCCCCCTGCAGGTAGGTGGAGCCTTCAGGGAAGCAGCAGCCTACACTCTTAGACCTTATTTTTGTGTGGTCTGCCCCAAGTGCTTGAGCTGCACTATTTGAGTCTTAACTGGATGGTGAGCAGGTTTCTAATCAGAATTGGCCACAGGGGAGCAGCCTTAAGTGACCGGCATGTAGAAACCCTTTGTTTACCGTGTAGAAAAACAAAACTGGCTCATAAAGGGGAAGTATTTTGCCCAAGGTCATGCAGCTGTGCACAATCGTGCAACAGGGAAGTGTGGCCCAACCCTCAGCTGAAGGCTTCACTGTCCACTGGAACCAGACATGGTGTCACTTTATCAGAGTTGTCAGCTCCAAAGGACTCACTGGGGATGGACAGGTTGAGAGTTAGACCTAAAGCACTGGGGCTAACTTTGCTTGAGTTTACTCGTACAGGAAATACTTTTTGACTGGTGAGTGCCAGGGATATAGCAGTGCCTAGGTCAGTGATGACAAACCTTTTAGAGACCACGTGCCCAAACTGCAACCCCAAACCCACTTATTTATCGCAAAGTGCCAACACTGCAATTAAATCTGAATACTGAAGTTTTAGTTTCAAAAAAACAACTGTTATCTGATGCTCAGCTGCTGGGGCGACTTGGCTTGCTTGCCAGTGGAGGGCTCTGCCTGCCCGCTGCTGCATGTGTGCCATTGGTTCCCCAGTGCCCTAGGTCCTGCCTCCCACACAGCTCAGTCTGTTACCCCACACAATGAGCAAGTAAGCGAATAAATTACTTAGCCTCAGTTTTCCCCCTTGGTCATGCCCTACGAGTCCCAGGTTTCTTCAGTTGGTGCATTGTAGTATTGCCCTCATCTGTAGATGGTGCCTGGTGCTTAGTAAGTGCTCAAGAAAATCCTGTTAAGCATTCCCACCTCCTGCACCTTAGGGATACACCTGACCTCTTAGGGGGATAGAACCTAATAAGGCTGACAAAGCCCTCAGAGATCCAATGTCCATCTTGTCTGCTCAGCCCTGACCCCTGGCATCCTTGAAAGCCTGGCTAAGCTTCAGAGTTGATGACAGGTGTTGTCAGAGCTGTTCTGGAAGCAGTGGGTGAGGTCTGAAGAATATTGTGTGCTCAGAGGCAGCAAAAGCAATCACAGGAGCCAGTGTGGTTCTGCTGCTCTTTGGGGATGACGACTTCCCTGCAAGAATCAGATGCAAGTTGTGAGTCCCATGTTAAGATTTAGCTGGAGCCAGGCATGATGGTGTACACCTGTGACCCCAGCACTCTGGGAGGCTGATCCAGGAGTACCGCTGTGAGTTTGAGGCCAGCCTGGGATACACAGACTAAAAAACAAAACAAATTTAGTGGCGTTGTAAGGACAGGTTCAGATTGGTCCCCTGGGCGGGATAGGAATTAATCTACCACACCCAGGTGTTCTGAGTCATCAGATGGTTTAGCGGCCTGGGCAAGTCCTATCTCCAGCTCTCCATCTTCTCACTATTGTATAGTCAGGTACTGAAGTCCACCCAACCCCCAAACATTTTATTGTGGAAATTTTCAAACATGTAAGAAGCAGAAGAAGTAGCGAACAGCTAAACACCTGCTGCCTGCGTCGGTACACTGCTTGCCACCCCTGTGCAGCTCTTTGCCAAATCTTATTTTTTGTTGTTTCAAAGTGGCAGCTATCAGTGCCCACCACCAACAAGAACCAAGTCAGAACTCTGATAAATGCTACATTACCATAACAACAACCCCCTAGCCCAGGCACTTCTTTCAAATTCTGTTCTTTTGGGGCGTGCTCTCTCATGCCTGTAATCCCAGCACTTGGACTTGGGAAGCTGAGGCAGGAGGATCACCATGAGTTTGAGGCCAGCCTGGGCTACATGGTGAGTCCAAGGCCAGCTTGAACTACATAACGAGACCCTGTCTCAAAAAACAAATTCTATTCTTGTTCCTATTTTATGAAGGAGAAACTGAGGCTTAGAGAAGGTCATATAGCTAGGAATTCAGGTTCAGCTGTGTCTCCAAAGAGTCCAAATTTTAAAAGAGGATAGGATAGGATGACAGCTACTAGAACAAAGCAGAAATTTAGGACTACAGAGGACACCTCTATCCTAACCACCACAGTTGCTGCATGCCTGGGCCCGCTGAGACTTCTGGGAAAGGGTCCTCACCGGGCAGTTTCAGACTAAATCTCACACAGGTTGTTCCAACACAGGGCTGAAGGCTGGGCAGATGGACTCACAAATGTTTAAGGGTCCAACAGAAATTGCAGTGAAGAAAATGACTTCTCTTCAGGCCCCTGCAGCCACTCAAACCTAGATGTGGGCCTTGTCACTGGGATTATGACAACGCCAATAGGAAGTGTGGATCTCTGAATTGCTCTCTCACCATGAAAAGGAATGATAGGAAATGCTTTTACTTTCCGTGGGGTCCAGCACATTGGAGAACTGCTCTTTCCTAAGACCCTTTTCCATGGGACACTGGCTCCAGGTTCCCCTTCTCCTCCCAACCCTTCAGCCCAGAGGCCTCTTCCAGCCACCCACAAGCCGCATTTCCCACCGGGTCCACTCGCTTCTCTAGCTCATGCCTCCTTCACCTCTACCTGTGCCCGCTCCTCCTACTCAACCAAGCAGGAGCTGATCAGCAGCAGGATGATGCCTTCTCTACGGAAAGTATTTTTTGTTCTCTTTTTATTAAGTGGTCGCTGCCTCAGAAAGTCAGAGCAATGCCGTTTGAGGCTCCTCCCCTGCCCTGGCCATGGTACAGTTACAAACTTTGTCAATCCAAGTTGTTTCTCTACCTGGGAGGATGCGGGTGTCATTTGAAGTTTTAATTTTCAGTTGAGCAGCACACACGATTCGTGCTTTTTTTTCCCCGCTAGCGTTCAACACTTCAAAAACAGGCGGAAATAAACGAAAAGCCCGCCCCGGTCCTAAAACACTCCTACAGCGTCCCCCCTCTTCATTAAATAAAGTTAAAGGGAGGTTTCCATCAAAGACCTATTGGGGAGCTGGGTTTTAGTCGCCCTGCAGAGGAAGATAAGCGGAGCACACTGATTCCAGGGCGATCTCTGCCCTCTGGCCGAGCCCTTTCAATGTGGCTGGGAGAGCAAAGGGCACAGCCCCGACTCCAGGCCCGAAGCTCAGGGCCTGCGAACTGCGACCGAATCAGGCAGCTGCGAGCCCAGCCCGGTCTCGGGTCCTCAGGCGGCAAGTGAGAGGGGCGGAGCTGATCGCCTATTGGCCCAAGTTCAGGGGCGTGGCTATAGCTCCGCCCCACCCTCAGCCCCCCACCGAATTAAATAGGGCTTGCTCCAGGCCCAGAGAATTATTCATCGGGGGGCGGGGCCTAGGTTTGTTTACACGCTACCATTGGTTGGATTTGAATCGGGAAGACCGCAGGGCGGGGGGGGCAACTGGTGACAGCTTTGAGGAGGCAGAGCCATGCTGTACGCGTCCAACCCTGGAGGTGGAGGTACGCTTGGCTGTCACTCGGAGCAGGGTGGCGCTTTCGCCTATTTCCTGATAAAAGTTAACGGGGGGGGGGGGGAGTAGCATTTTTTTTTTCTTTTTTCATAAATATTCAGAAAGAAGCCGGAGGTGGTGGCACGGGTCTGTTATCCCAGCATTAGGGAGGCTGAGGCAGGAAGATCACCTCGAGGCCAGGCTGGGCTACACTGTGAGTTCAAACCAGCCCAGACTGCGTAGCGAGACTTTGTCTCAAAAAAAAAACAAAAACAAAAAAAAGGGCGGGATTTAGCTCAGTGGTTTCGCTGCCTGATGCGCAAGCGCAAGGACCCGAGTTCGATCCCCGGTACCAAAAAAAAAAAACCCAAACGTGCCGAAACAACCTAATTGTCCATCGATGGGGAACTCAAAATAATCTGTGGTCTAGTCCACAAAGGGACAGAAAGTAGCTGTAAAATGAGGAAGCCAGACATTAACTGATGCAGAATGAATATGTATCCGGATGAGGAGGGCTGCAAAGAAGGAAGCAGTGTCTAAAAAGTTAAAAAGTGGGAAGAAAAATGCCAGTTTTACTGTAGAATTCAGTGTGGAGATTCCTCAAAAAACTAAAACTAGGGCCGGGGATTTAGCTTAGTGGTTTCATCGCCTGCTGCGCAAGCACAAGGACCCCAGTTCAATCTCCAGTACCAAAAAAACCCCACAAAAACTAAAACTAGAGGTTCCATTTCATCCAGCTATTCCCTTTCTTGGTATCTTCCCGAAAGAATTAAAAGCATCATACCACAGTGATATATGTACGCCCATGTTTATAATGGCACAGTTTTTAACAGCTAAAACTTGGAAACAGCCCAAATGCCCATCAGCCAATGAATGGATAAAGATGTGGTTTTTTTCATACAATGGAGTACTATTCTGTCATAAAGGATGAGCTTGAGACATTTCTAGCTAAATGGATTCACCTTGAGACCATACTCTTAAGTGAAATAAATCAGACACACATGTGTAAATACCGCATTCTCTGGTGTGAGAAACCAAAAATGTATATAAGGATCAAAACATATAATAGATACTGGGAAATGGGAAGAAAATGTTCAAATGAGAAGGGGAAGTAGGGAGAGGGGAGGGGGAAAACAGGAAGGGACAAGGAAAAAAAGAATAGAAGGAAAAAATGGAAACAAAGTTTTGTAAATAAGGGAGAGAGAGGGTTCGAAGGGAGGGGAGGGGAATGGGAAAAAAAGAAGCAAGATACATGATGTACAGGTACAAATTCCCTATGATAAATGTGATCATTACAGATATCTAAAATGTACTATTTCCTTTCTAGTTAAGTAGGTCAACCCCATTTAAGCCTCAGTGAGCATCTCTCTGGCTGAGATGAAACTTCTGTCAGTCTCCAGTAGGTCTGATCTGCCTCTTTGTTGGCTACACAGTCTCCGAAGCCTGCCCATTTACTTTGGAAACTGGACAGTGGTTTGGCTCCAGCATCTATGGCTGTTACTACCACTACTAGTTCAAGCACTGTGCTGTTTACTTCAATATCAAATATTTCTACCTCCACACCTGCTATGGAGCTCTTATTTGGTGCCCTAACAACTTCAGCTAGAACACTTGGTGGTGTAATATTGGAGTGTGGATTAAGTTTCTCTGGAGTGGGTGGAGCAGCTTCTAAGACATCTACTACAACTTCCACAACTACCATCACCACTGTTACCACCAACACCGCTGCCACAATCACCAGTGGCTTTAATCTGAATCTAAGATCACTGACATCAACTGCGATTAGTAACACTGATCTAGGCAGTGTTTCTTCTGTACCTCTTACTTCGACTGTTAATTCAGTAGTAACTCCTGTGATGACTTATGGTCAGCTGGATGGGCAGATAAACAAGTGGAGCCTTGAGGTAGAGGATCAAGAGAAACTCTTTACATCAGGCCACTCAGGTCAATGCTTGGAATCGTGCGGTGATTGAGGAGAATGGTGAGAAGGTCGCTGCTTTACCTAGCGAAGTGGAAACAGTGAAGCTCAAACAAAAAAGGTTGGGACAAGAATTGTATTTTATCTTGTGTCAGAAGAAGGAATTAGAAGATGTACTGACTCCTGCAGAGGAGCCTGTGAAGGACATGAGTGGGCCTGTCCATCTGTTGCATGCAGATGAGAAGCGGGAGAGGATGCATGGGGCAAAAGAAGGTAGAAGAGGTAAAGGTTTTTGAAGATTCATCACAAGGAGCAGCTACAGACTATGAAGATTCCCTTCGATTAAACGACTGTATCTTTAGCATATTGTTTGGGGATTATTCATTACCTATTACTTTCTGATGGTGTTAAATAGAGTAGCATTTACAGTTACTACTCAATCTTTGGTTGAAATAAAGTGTGCATGCATTTTTTCCACTCAGATACTGTGCTATTGCGAATTATACTGTAGTTTTGCTTTCAAAATTAAAGTTACTACTAAAATGTACTATTTAAAAAGAGAGAAAGAGTTAGTGCCAGTTTTTGCTTGTTTGATCCACAGAATATGTTCAAAAGCAACCAGCTGCTGACAGTGATAGGAGTGGGGAGGAAGGAGTGGGTGGAGGACAGATCCTTTTGTGCCTTTGTAAATTTTGAACCTTACATCAGTTACTCAAATAAATATACTGTACTTGATGTAAATGAAACTTCCTCAGCATCCGTGTGCATTGCTGCTGCCGCCTCTAGGAAAACTCTTGACTTGTCTGCCTGACTGCCCCCCAGGCACTCCAGGTGGACTGGGAAGGTACTGGGGACACCTGGGGGATGACTTTCTCCATCCACAGAGTGTTATTACTCATGTACCAGATATCTGAGCATACAGGAGAAGCCGTATTTACAACAGTGCTCTTTTTTGGCTTTTGTTTTTGAAGACAGGGTCTCACTATATAGCCCAGGCTGGCCTTGAACTCACTATGCAGCGAGGCTGGCTTCTTTTCTAACTCATAGTAATCCTCCTGCCTTAGCTTCCCAAGTACTGAGATTATAGTCAAATGCCACCAAGCCCAGCAACCCTTGATTATTTTTTTTTTCTGGAACCCTTGATTAGTTCCTTTTTTTTTTTTTTTTTTGGTACCAGGGATTGAACTCGGGACCTTGCACTTTCGAGGCAGGCCCTAGAACCACTGAGGTAAATCCCCGGCCCCCTTGATTACTTCTTAATAAAAGAATTTCTAGGGGCCGGGGATTTAGCTCAGTGGTTCCACCACCTGCCTTGCAAGCGGAAGGATCGGAGTTTGATCCCCAGTACCAAAAAGATAAAAGAATTTCTGAGCTGGATACAGAGCTTCACACCTACAATCCCAGCTCTCTGTGAGGCTGAGGCAGGAGGATCACAAGTTCAAGCTCAGTCTAGGCAATTAGTAATTTAGGAAGACTAAATCTCAAAATAAATAGGGCTGAGGCAGGCTGGGGATTTAGCTCAGTGGTTCTGCCACCGCCTGCCTCACAAGCGCAAGGACCAGAGTTAAATCCCTGGTACCAAAAGAAAAAAAAAAAATAGGGCTGAGACTGTAGCTCAGTGTGAAGGCCTTGGGTTCAATCCCTAGTACTGGAAAAAAGGAAAAAAAGTTCTGGTTGTTTTTCCTAAGATTCTATGCCAGGGCAAATGTTTTTATTTTTCTAAGTTTCTTTTGAAGCAGGACAGTTCTTCCCTGGTCCCTCCTGCCCTTCTCTTCAGGAAGCATTTCACTGGCACGGGTGCCAGGCACGCTTCTAAACACTCATAAATATCAGTGTACTGAATCCTCACACCCTTAGGGGGAGGAACTGTTGGCTGATACAGAGGTACACCCCTGTAATGCCAGTACTCAGGAGGCTGAGGCACGAGGGTACAAAGTTCAAGGCCAACCTAGACTGCACAGTGAGATCCTGTTATCCTCATTTCACAAAGGAACCAAGGCATCAAAAAGTTAAATCTTAACTACAACACACAGGGCTGGGGACATAGCTCAGTGGTGCTCCGCCTGCCTGGCAAGCACAAGGTCCTGAGTTCAATCCCTGGTTCTGCAAAAGAAAAAAAAAAAAAAAACATAACACAATGTGGCCAAAGTTCCCACATTTCTCTCCAGCAAAGGAAGAGGAAGACCAAGAGTGAGTGCAGGAGGAGAAAGAGAGAGAGAATGCAGAGAATGGGAATTAAACCACTGGATCAGTGAACATGGACTTGAGGTTGAGAGAGGTACTGGGGCTGAGGTCAGATAGCCAAAGGTGCCGAGAAAATGGCCCGCAGCCATGATTAATCACTAGGGCAATGCAAGTCAAACCACAATGAGACAGCACTTCACACCAATGACGATGGAAGGCTGTGGCCAAGAAAGGGGAAAATAGACTGATGTCAAGCTGCAGGCCTATAATCCCAGCACTCTGGGAGTCTGAGGCAGGAGGAACCCAAGTTTGAGCCCAGCGTGGGCCACTTAGTGATTTAGCCAGACTCTGTCTAAAAAAAAAAAAGCCTGGGAATGTGGCTCAGTAGCTCAGTTCAATTCCCAGTGCCCCCAAAAAGGTGGAGAAGGGTAATGAGTGTTGACCAGGATGGGGAGAAATGAGATCTGTCCCTCAGTGCTGGTGGGAAGGAGGGGGCTACTGCCACTGTGGAAGAGCTTGGGACATTCCCAAAGCAACTGGACATGGGTTCGAACAATAACGAGTACACAAGTGACCACATCCAACACTTCCTGAAGTGAACACAGCAGAAACGTCTCTTGATGGGATGAACAGGGGAAAACATGGGAGGCCCCCAAATGGAATATTACTCAGCCCCATCCGAGGAATGCAGTACTCACACCCACTGCGACTCGATGAACCCTAAAACACGCACAGAGGCGTGTGCCCAGAGTCCCTGCCCTCTGCAAGGCTGAGGGAGGTAGATGGCAAGTTTGAGCCCAACCTGGGCAACTTAGCATGATCCTGCCTTAAAATATAAACAGCATTCGGGAGGCAGGGGCAGGAGGATGGCCACGAGTTCAAGGTCAGCCTGGGTCAGCCTGAACAAGAAGTGAGACCTTGTTTCAATAAATAAATAAATAAATAGAGAGAGAGAGAGAGAGAGAGAGAGAGAGAGAGAGAGAGAGAGGGCTGAGGATGTAGCTTAGTGGTAGAGCACCCCTGGGTTCAATCTCCAGTATTGCAAAAAATACAGATTTTTTTTGAGAGGGCAGAGGTATTGAGTGTATGTGATGGGGTGGGTGTGGAGAGCGAAAGGTTGAAATAACCTTGAGAGACCTCTGAGTCTCTGGAGAACATAATGAATCCTGGATATGCAGCTGGCACAAAAACAAGGATGGTTACTTGTAACGAGAGTGGTTAAATAGAAAGAGTTCGAATGTCTGCAATGCAAGGGAACGTTATTCCCGGAGTTGTAAAGATACATTTGACCTTTCCCCTGGAAAATAATTAGGCGCCGAATTATGTGTAGAGGAGGGGTTGGGGATTGTGGAAAAGGTATATAAAGGGCAATAAAGTGGGAAGAGGGGTCCCCCCTCTGCCTCTCTCTCCTTTTTGTTTTCCTCAGAGGTTGTGTTTTTCTTTCATCCTCTCCCCTCCTCTCAGGTACTGTTCGACTAGTGACGGCTGGCACCGTCAGGTGGGTGAGGGGGAGGTCATTGCTGTATTGTCCAGGCTGGTCCTGAACTCCTGGGCTCAAGCAATCCTCCCATCTCAGCCTCCCAAGTGCTGGAACTACAGGTTTAGTTACCACTGTGCCCAGCCTGGTATAAGATTTTTATTTATTTATTTATTTATTTAGCAGTTCTGAAAACTGAACCCAGGACCTTCACACTGAGAAATGTCCCCAGCCCTTTGTAATTTTTTTTATTTTGAGGCAGTGTTCCACTAAATTGCCCAGGCTGGGCTTAAATTTGTGATCCTCCTGCCTCAGCCTCCCAGAGGCTGGGAGTCCCAGAGCCTGGGACTACAAACATGCACCACTACACCTGGCTATGGTTCTTAAAATAACACATATGGTACCACATGCAAGAAGAGCCACAAATGCTGGGTGTGGTGGCGCATACCCATGATCCCAGCACTTGGGAGGCTGAGACAAGAGGATCACCCATAAATTCAAGGCCACCCTGAACTGTTGCATAGCAAGACCCTGTTTTAAAACACACACGCGTGCACCCAGAGAGGGGCTGGTGGGGGGAAAGAATGAAACAATCTGGGAAGGTGGCCTCCCAGTATGGTCCATCACACTGTGTTTCTCAGCACCCACTCTGAGGGTGTACTTCGTGCCTGCCTGCGCGCTTCCCCAGAGCTCTGCCCCCTTAAGGACTGGTCCCAGTTTTTGCAGAATCCGACCTTTGCTGTCAGTGCCTTCACTTACTCCTTTTTCCTTGAAAGGGTCCCCCAGGGACCCTTTGCTGGGCTCACCCCAGGGAACAATGACCAGGACAGCACAGGTACAAGGGCCAATTCCTGTACTTTCTTTGCTAATATGCATTGGTCCTGAAATGAAGCCATCTGGAAGCATCTCAGCTATGACTTTGGAACCAGACCTCACTCTGAGAGTCACTGGCAAGTAAGAGCTGGGGAAGTACGGGACAGGTGCCAAGGCCCACAGGCGCTGGATGGGGACAACAGGTGGGAGCGGAAAGAGAGGGGAAGCAGAGAGGCCCGTGAGAAATCTGGTGCTCCTGGTCAGGGAGCTGGCAGTGTGACCAGAAGTAGATGTGGAGGGAGGAGGTGGGGAGGGAGATAAACTCTTTCAGGCCATGCCCCCATAACCACCTCTTCCAATCAGATCCCACCTCCTAGCAGCAAGTCACCTATAGGCCCCTGATCCAATCACCTTCCAAAGGCCACACCCCTGAGCTCATGAGGCTTAGTGGGACGTCTAAATATAAACCATCGCATTTTACCCCATGGCAACCAAGTCATGGCACATTTACCAGGGACCAGAAGGAAGAAGTCCACTCCAGGAGGCACCCAGGATCAGGGGCACAAACACACGTACTGCTCAAATCTCACAGTAACTTTAGTCCGGCCCTTAGCCTGGCTGCCACCTTCAGGCCTCAGGGCCTTTGCTCATGCTGTGTCCCAGCATCTGATCAGCACTGCATGACCCAGTGAGGCTTTCCATTTTCTGTGGTCTCCCAGCAAGATGAGTCATTGTCCTTAACCTGCAGTGCAGAAAGCAAGGTTTGGAAGAAACTGATAAGACTCTCAGTAGCTCAGTAGCACCACATCTGCCTGGCAAGCACAAGGTCCTGAGTTGGATTCCAGGTATGAAAAAAAAAAAACTATAGAAACTGATAGATTCTCGCAAGGCCCATACAGCTAAGGAGATGGAAGTAAGGATTCAAATATATGTCTTTGGATATTGACACCCTTGCGCACTAGCTTAGTCTCTCTGTGCCTCAGTTTACTCACCTGGAAAATGGGGTAATAATGATATCTTCAGCTGAGTGTGGTGACACACACCTGTCATCCCCGCACTGAGGCAGGAGGATGGCTGTGAGTTCCAGGCCTGCCTGGACTACATAGCAAGACCCTGTCTCAAAAAAAAGAGAGAGAGGGCTGGGGATTTAGCTCAGTGGTTTTGCCCCCTACTGTGCAGGCATAAGGACCTGAGTTTGATCTCTGGTACCAAAAAAAAAGAGAGAGAAAAAACAAAACAAAATGAAGGGCTGCGGTGTGGCTCAGTACTTGTCCAGCATGTGTGAGGCCCTGGCTTCCATCTCTAATGCCATCAACAAAACAAAACAAAACCCAACACCACCACAAGGGCATGTGTTAATGACTTGCACAATGACCAGGCACACGTGTGTGGCTGCTGTTGGAGGGTCCGTCACTCAAGTAAGCAAAATTGTTCCGTGTCTTGCGTCCGTAATTGCCACCAGTTGCTGTTTATTTCATCCATTCAGGAAGATGGGCTTGGTGTCTTCACAGCTTTCTTTCTTTGAGACAGAGTCTCACTGTACAGTTTAGGCTGTCCTTGAATTTCCAGGGCACATTCCCACCTGAAATTATTTTTAATACGTGCTAAATAAATGAAGAATTCCTCCTAAATTGTTTCTACATGTTTAATTCCTGCCTTAGCAAAACCGCTAAATAAATGAAGAATCCCTCCTAAATTGTTTCTTTCTTTTTTGTTTTTGGTACCGGGGATCAAACTCGGGTCCTTCCACTTGTACAGCAAGCTGTGAAACCACTGAGCTAAATCCCTGCCCAAAACAGGATTTTTTTTTTTGGTACCGGTGATCGAACTCAGGACCTTGTGCTTGCAAGGCAGGCATCAGAACCACGGAGCTAAATCCCCAGCCCTCTAAATTGTTTCTACATGTTTAATTCCTGCCTTAGCAAAACCAACAAGTCCTTACATGATGTGTCCTTTGTTCTCCTTTTCTTTATTCACATGGTTCTACCCACATCGGTCTCTTTGTTGTCTTTCAAAGGGTCCCAGTTCTTCCTGCCTCAGGGCCTTTGCACTTGCTGCCCCTTCTCTTGTCCCCAGATATTGTAGCTCTCTTCTGTATTTCCTCTTGGTCTCTGCTCAAGGTCATCACCCCAGGAAGTCTCTATGGACCTGTATAAAACAGCATCCTCAGACACTATCTGCCTTCATTTATTAAAAACAAGTGTAATCCCATTGCATTAGAAGTGTCTTTGTTCCTCTTCTAGAAGCACAGGGTCCAATACCAGAGCCACAAGCTATATGGGGCTATCATGTCCTCCTTACAGGGCCCATCTGAATAGGGGTGTCCCATGAATGTAAAATATACACCAGATTTTGGGCTGGGGATTTAGCTCAGTAGTTTCACCACCTGCTGCGCAAGCGCAAGGACCTGAGTTCGATATCCCGGGCACCAAAAAAATACACCAGATTTTGGGCTGGGGATTTAGCTCAGT